ACAGCAGTAGTTATGTGATGCTTGACCACATATGTGTGACCAATGTCATGGTCAACCATGGACAACGCATAATGGAAGTCTAACAAACACTACCAGACATCATGGTACCTAGCCTCTACAGGCTGTACTGCTTGCCAACAAATCTTGCAAGCGCTGGGGCAATTCATGTCTTGCATTTGCCATCATGTCCAACTCATCATGAATTGAACTGACCCTTACCTGGGAGATCACGAGCAACTCATTTCTCCCTCCCAGGGTTAACCAGATTTTGCGACATTGAGACGCTGAGGGGCATCTTTTTCTCTCTACTTGTTCGGGCGTGATGTCACATCGACCAGTGCCCGACAGCGATTTTTTTTTCTCCCAAACGCAGGCATGCAACTGGGAAATCACAAAAAAAGAAGAAATTCACATTTTTCCCAGACTTTGTACAGTGTTTTTCAATGGCACACATGGGAAGTAAAAAAAGAGGAAATCAGCTGATCCGAGGAAAAGTTGCATGCCTGCAAACGACATCCGCATAGGGGTGTAGTGTACGCTATGGCGTTTTGGACTTAACTTTTCTAAAAACATGAGAAGAAAATATAAAACTAGAATTGTATGTCTGTTTGAAAACAGAACACAGGGCTTTTTCGCGTTTTATAAATGTTTATGCTATGTTTGACCTTTGCAGTCACTTTTTAGAGTGTTTAATACAGTTAAAGGTTCTTCACAATGCTTAGAATAATTCCAAAAATAAAGCTTTATCACATGACGTCACATGCTCTGCAATGACGTCATCTTGAAAACCCTTCTCAATGCACATTTGTCATTGTAGTCTTGGTTTTTACAGTCAATCCGATGAAAGGAAGTGTGCAATTTTGGAAGCAGAATAAAATTATAAATATTAAAAAAATCATAAAAAATCACAAATTTGCGAAAAAGCCAACTAGAAAAAAAAGAAATGAATTCGAACGTAATGAAATTTGGACTTTATTTCCCTCTAATAGAAAATCCTCTGACGCCACAGGTTAGAAAAAAAAAAATTCGGGTACAAAACGGTCATTCCAACCTGCAACCTCGCGGTGAAAAAAACGTGGGGAAAAAATTACATACCTGAGTACGTATCATTAAAGTATCGTAGAGGGCACTAACCAACCAAGTATGTGGATGTAGTTTGGGAAAAGAAAATTCGCTGCCCGTCACATGTATCGACAGGTCTTTAGACGTCAGCCGTGAAACTACACAAAGCCAGGCACAAAAGTGCGCGGCAAACCTTATTTGTTTGCACGTCCAGCTGGAAAGGAATTTCAAAGGACACTTAGGAACATAAATCCCTCAGTTTATGAATAAATGCAAACAAAGAAACAAGGGAGTTGAATTTGGGTTCATGACAGTGGCCGAGCACAGTTGGGGGGGGGGGGGGGGGAAGCGAGGGCCGGGCAGAGTGATGGCTTACAGATTACCTACATGAAGATGATTCCCTGGGAATGGATTTTTACTTTTTTTAATTAGCTGATTATTATTTATGGGACCCCTTTAACTCTGCCTTATAGTAAATAAATACGCAGACGAAATAGATGACAATGGAAACAGTTACTGGAGGTCAGTTACTTTCCATTTATTATTTGAGTCTCTTTTGCAATGAAATAAAACTAAAACTAAGCAATTTTTGTAGTCAGGAAATCTGTGACCGTGTGGACGTACGCCATATTTGATGTAATGTGACTGCGATATAGAATGCATGCTGACTGTCAATAGCCATGCACTGTAGCCATGTTGTTTAACAGCCCATGCACCCTTAAACTATCTTGAAAATCAGGGCTGGTTGCGCAGTGTTTATGCCCACGGTATGGGCAATATCACTGAAGTGTGATATTGATGGGGCATGGCGTACCGCTGCGCACACCAGCAATGTCGGCATGTATACCCGTCCTCTGTGGCGCCGGCCAGTAACCCTTGGCGTGGCGTGGCGTGTATACACATCAACCGCAACAACCAAGGACACATTCAAAGCGTGTACAATGTATACATGTCCTCTGCTGAATTATACCGCTGTGCCTGACTGGTTAACCCGTCATGCGTGCAAAGTACACATATTTTGGGCTGTGCGCATGGCGGGTTTATTAGAAATTAGATCTGAATTTTGCAAAACTTTTGTGTGGTTAAGACCCGCAGCAAAACATCAGCCTCACATCTCAGACATTGGTCTCCATCTCATCAGGGATCTGGCCAAAACCAAATCTTTCTAGGACAAGTAAACTCCACCTGCCATTGGTTCCACCATGGTGCACCAAGGCTGACCCGACCAAGACCATGGCCTCATCATGAATCGATGGAATAACCGTAGTTTTAGAACTACAAGCGTCCCACAAAGGGCTCACCTGCACCATTTGTGCACTTGAATGGCTCAAAATTAAGCTTCCACTCTCTCAACTGGAAACCCAAATTTCCACCTGTGGGCACCTGAAAATCCTTGCCCAGGATACCACTGTACTTCATGCCAGCAAGACCGCCCTCAAAATTTTGAGGGCAGTCTAGACTGCTTAGTCAAAAGGTTTTGGGCATCCACTGATGCCCTTTGTAACTGAATTAGTGTGTCAATTGCATCTACGAAGTGGTTCTTAGCCAAGCTCTCCTGAGCATCATTCTCCTGCATCGATGCTCTCACCGTCAACTCATGGATTGCTTGCCCTAATTCCTGCAAGCCCTTTTCAGCTTTTAAAACCGATGTCTCAGTTTGACGAGATAAATTTCACTGTCGACCTGACCAAAACCTCCACTCCAGCGACTTGACAAGTGCATTGTATGTGTACTTACTTGTGGCTGATGGAGTCCCTCAACAACTGTAGCGTTAATTGTGCAGTTCCAGAATTTCTGTACAATGTAGATGGTTTCGATCTCTAAAAAGAACCGGTTCTGAGGCCGGACTGGCTCCCAGAAAATTCATTGAAAAACATAATCCCTTGAAATTACATGTAAGATAAATGGTGTCACCTTGTAGAGGTCCGTGCTCTGTGGATTTCGATGTGCAATACATGTTTATCCAACTACGTATTTAATTTTTGTGGCTGATGGAGACCCATGTATGTACATGTATGTGTCTTTTTCCTGTGAAACTATGGAAATTGTGTTATTAAAAGCAAATTTAGCATTTATTACTTTATTTTCTGTTCCTTGCCTATGATTTTAATTACCGCAACGACTGCCAACGTGTAGAATAGAATGATTTACTGCACAAGTGCACTACCACCCACGTGGCACTAAATCTCTGTTGTGCTGTTGGCACACTTGGAACTGGCTCCGAGTCCTGGAATCAGCTCTGATGGAGCTGGGTACAGGTACAAATTACCTGGCTCCAAACAAGTCATGGATCTACTGGGCTTAAGGTCTGTGTGGTTTTCCCCGCCATTGATTTGACTAGCCAGAGTGATTGTCCCAGGCCTTCATAAGATTGAATTCCAAGTTACTAAGCTGATTTTAGGCTCTGGACTTTTTGCACAGAGAATGGGTAATTCTTTGGAGCTGGAACTGAGCATAGCGGTTACCCTGTTCTTGAGAAGATTGGACTCACAGTTCCGCTTCTCATATTGGGACTGGGTAGAACCGGGGAACTGCCGGAACCGCCCATTACTACCATAGAGCATTTCCCTGCAAACTTGCGGCTAGCCACCTCGAAACCTGCTCCTAACACCACTGGTTTACCTCACAACAAAACTCCAAATGGTTTAAGTACTCCTTCCAGAGTACTTTCTCACTATACTGGTAAGGAGTTTTGTTTGGCCTTGTGGTCGTCCTAAAGTTGCCTCTTGACCCACATCACCATGGGCATGTGATTCTTGTTTCAGTGGCCATGGGCCCACTGATGCACTATTCATTTTTTCTGTTGAACTGTTGCTCTTTGCCTTGACTGCAGGTCAATTTGCAACCGATACAGGGGTTAGCATCCCCACATCATCAACAAACAGGCTGGCCCTCACCTTACCCTGTTCCACGCCACTTTCCTCAGGGATAAACATCATTAGATCCACTGGACCATCTGCCTCCCTGGAAATAGGCATTAACTCCACTTTTAACATTAACTCCGGGGAAAATTCCTGAGCTCTGTCCTCTTTGAGGTGTGCTTTCCAAAATAACTCACCTCCTTCCCCATTGTGGGGGCCAACTCAGGTACCACACCTGTGCCTGACATTCTCCCCGTTGTCCCAGAGACATGCATTGCTTTACGTGTCTGCATACAGTGCTTGGTCACACACCTCGGCCAACCACTGCTGTGCACGCAGCCGCTCCACTGGATTCTAAGCTCTGCCCAGTCACACACAACCTTACTCGCACACTCACAATTGAAATGGAAATACATTAAGAACGAGTCATTACAATTTCTGCCAAAGTACCTTTGTGTTCCATTTAACATTATAAGTAATCCTCATATTAAGGGAATAAATGTGAGCTTTGGAGATTTTAATCACTCTGTTTAAGACCTCTTGACGACTCCAAGCGGTCTTAAACACAGTTATTAATACCGACCAAACAAACATTTATTCCCATTCATAAATACCTTTTCTGTCCAAAAAATCAAAACTTTTTGGTCAAAAACCTCGATTTTGTTCAACAAATTCACTTCATGTTTATTGAAACACCCCTCTAGCTAAATAATGGAGTGTCCAGCTCGTAAACAACTGTTGAAACTCTTCATCATCACTGCAGAGGTGTCGAAGACGGAGGAACTGGCTGTACAGTATTGAGTTCTTGCATCTCCTTGGGTGGGAAGACTTGTAGTGGAGGTACCGTAACTGTGGGAGTCCTTAGGTTTGTAATGGGCAGTGGTACTGAGCCGCTTGTCATTAAATCTCAAATTGATGTCAAGGAATGTCATAGAAAGCTGAGAGATGTCCGAGGTGAAACGTAGGGCAGAGTGGAAGCCGTCAGCATCAGAGGTAGTGCCCATGATATCATCAATGTAGCGCTTGTACAATGTACATGTAATAACAAAGGCCTCACACCAGTGAATTCAGACATTATTTTCATGTATACAAATTGTCCACATAATTTATTAGCGAACCTTTTTAAGCAACACAAAATAATGCAGAGCTGTAATACAGAGTTACTTTAATATTGACGTATGTAAAAATCTATTCATATCAACATTTAAAACAAATATCGCAAGCCATGATCCTTGGGACTTATTGAATTCTTCAAAATTTTAGGACCCGTATACGATGTAGTGGAAGCACTCCATGTAGATGTACATCTGAGCATCTACATAAAAGGGATTTCCCATGATGATGACTAGGGCTGTATATTTTTAGAATAATTTAGTATTTGATTACTTGAAACAGTGTTTGACCAAAATTTGGATATTGGAAACTGCCACCTGCAACTGCATGTCGTGCTGATCAAAAGGTGCATGCAGAGCATGCCAGATAACATTTGCAAGCGTCAATGGGTGGGCTGCTGGAGTGTTTTGCAGTACCGGTAAGTATTCAGGATTAACCGGCCAAAAGGATGGGATAAATGAACCGCCATCGACAAAAAAGTTACTGTCGACAAAAAAGTGGCACCTGACAATAAAGCCCCAAAGTTTATGATACATGTAAAATAACATCACTGTCGTGTGTAGGCGCGTAGTTGTTTTGTTCTCGAATATTCCAACCAGCAAAAAAGTTATTTGAATATTCGGTTGGTGATCGAATATTCGGGACAACCCTAATAATGACTCAAGGTTTCAGGACTAACACGTGGGACAGTCATCAGTCATCTGACAAGCAGATGCATCACCAACTGATTGACAGGATCATTACATGCACATGTAGTAGGTCTAATGCTTCAACCGCACTGACATTCCCACATGAAACTGATGAGTTCATCATGAGTACATTAATTATATGACCGCAGTTATCCTTGCTGACACCTTGAAAGTAGCACAATTTGTTAGTGGCATCTTACTTTCGTATGAGCTTTGGTTCTTTGTTTCCTGAGAGAAAACCCCCAAAACCAACCAACAGTAAATATTTGATCACAACTGTTAGAGAAATGTAAGGCAAAGATTACAGTTGAAAGAGTGAAAACTTGGCAGAACATGTATACATATATATACTAGACAGACGTACGTTCCTGCAGTCAATCTTCCAAACAAACTATGAGCATCTCAGTTTACCACTTTGGATTCGTTTTTTTTTGCATATTCAGCAGGCAGTGTTTTATCATGAAACCCTCTCTAGGCATGTCACAACTGTCATGACAGTACATGTACATGTACATGTAGTTTGCCTAACCATCTTTTTTTTAATTTTAAATGTTAAAACAAATTCCATACTTTAATGGCAGACTGTCTTAAAGGGTATTTATGTACATTGTTAACTTATTTTAATCCCTGTAGTCATGAACAACATTGTGCAATTGATTAATGTACAATGTACATGTACTTGCCTACTATTTTAATGTCATTTTTATAAACCCTGATTTAGGCTGATTAGGAATGCAAGCACATGTTGGAACGTAAGTTTTGATACTGCAAATGAGGTTATTACATCATCTAAAACCATACACACAGTTGGCAAGAAGTTGCAGAACATTGTACCGGTCGGTACATTTTGTACAGAGATCATTAAAGCTTGGATTCTTGTGCATTTATTAAAATGAAAAATGACAGCAATGTTGATGTTCTTCAAACCACATTTTTGTACATGTACCCACTGCAGTTGATATGAATTCTAGCAATTGCCATCTTCATGTAAATGTGAGTGGGTCTGTCATCATCTGAGATAACAATGCCAGAGATTATCAGTACAAAGCTATGCATTCACAAGTTTTTTTCCTACAAAGAATACTATGTACATGTATGTATTGCCATAACTCTCTTGGACATTTACACATTAGCTGTAAAATTGAAAAACACAGACAATCCAAAGACCAGTGCATAGATCTGTTGTAGGCAGTCGAGAGATATTGTTTAAAATGAGGGTTATAAATGTGGTTTAGCCCACAGTCATTTTGAGTCCATTTCTGTTATGCCTTGGCCTCATTTCTTTAATAATTGGGGTTTATTAACAAGGTTTTACAGTCCCATTTCCAAAGTCTGCCTGAAAAATGACTTCATAGGTCCTCTTGACAGTTTCCTCTCTGATCCTTGTGCCATCTTTGTATATGACAGTGTGACTCTCCTCAATGACTTTGGTGACATTTCCACGTAGTACCTCTTCCAACCGTGTCAGGGGAATACATGGTCCCTCTGATGTGGATGTCACTGGGCTCTCTTCCTGGACCACATTGTTTGCTGAACTGCCTCGTGCCGAGCCCACTAAACCTGGTAAATCAATACACGCAGCATTTTGCTGTTGCAAGGTTTGGGAATTATGGCGTGTGTTATCCACAGTTTCACTTTGATGAGAGTTATGCAAGTCTCGTGCTGCATTATTTGTCACATTAATTGTTGGTAACTCATATCCTGTGTTATGTGTATTGATTTGTGGTAAATTTGATATACTTTGTTGTGCATTGGAACAATCTTGGGCTACGTTTTTAGTCATATTAATTGTTGGCGGGCTTAATGCTTCAAGTCTTTCATCTGAATTAATGTATGTACTTGTATGTGGTGATTTCACCACAGTATGACTTGTGTTACAAGTCACATTTCTTTGTGGCGTACATGTAGGTAGATTATTAACACTGCCATCCATCACTTTGTGTTGAAGTGAGTTAATGAAACCAAATCTTTTGTTACTTGTTTCTTCTTCTGGTGTATATACTGGTAAATCTTTGACTTTGTTATATGATTTTTTTTCATGTGACAGGGGCAAAATAGACTCGGCCAGACTACGTGTAATATGTTGTGACTTCCTCTTGCTATGTCTTATTGAGTGGGAAGTTTTAGTTGCATTACTTGTCGTCATTCCTTGCAAGGGGTTCTGTGACTCTTGCATGATTGTGTCAGATGTTTTACTTTGTGGAGAGTTATTACAAGATTCACTGGCACTGTCAGTTCCTGCATGTTCACAACAGGTAGGTGCTGCAACGTTTGATGACTTAATATGTTCAGGGTAAAACATCTTGACTAACTGCACTCTTGGTGACAGAACACTGCTTTTGGAAGATATGGATTGCGAGGTGGCTCTCTCTTGACACAATTCGTTTGTCTGTGTTGATAGATGCTCTTCCATGTTCTTAGCCACACTTGAAGTGCTGACTGACTCTATTCTTTGTAGATGTGTCTCATCTTTCCCAACATCTCGCATTCCTTGGCCTGATCCTCTTATGGACCCCCTTGATCTTGGTGATTGCCTGTTCTTCATTTCTTCCTGACGTTCACGATTCTCTTTCTCCTCGCTGGTCTCTACATTGATTGCCTTCACTTCCTCAATATTTTGTGGGTGCGACTGTTTGTAGTGTCTCTTGAAGTTGTCTTTTCGGTTGGTTCGAAACTCACAGTGTCTGCACCAAAAACAGGTAGGAGGTCCATGATCGAGTCTGAGGTGACGATTCAGACTTCCTAGTTGCAGGTATTCACGACTGCATTTTGGGCATTTGAAGCAGCCCCCTGCCTCTTTACCTTTGGGTGGTGACCATTCAATTGCGTGTTGTATATCACCCAGAGTATGCACAGGTTCAGAGGAACAAGTCATGTTGATATCTGAGGCAGAGTTGTCAGAATCATAGATTGGCTGGCTGATGGCACAATAGGATGATTCCTCCTCTCCTACAGGAAACACATGACCCACATCTGATATAGCTTCTTGTGAGATAGTAAGACATGAGTCTTTGGTTGTCTGCTCTGTTGGCAATGAGGAATCCTGTTGCAGGAAAGGTATGCCTGGTACAGGAAGGCCATCTGTAGAAGATGCCATAATTGCATCTGCAAGTTGCTCAGTATGTACATGTATATTTGATGCATCAGGGCATAAGCCACTGCCAGGCCCTGTCAGCTGATTAACTGTTTCTGGCATTTTGAAATAAAAGGAACTGTTATTGTGTCCACACAGAAGAGACTGACTGGAGCCTTGACCATGATCTGCAACACGTTCAATTCCCCCTAGTGTTTCCTGCTGTTCTCTAATCTCTGTTTGTAGTATGGACTCAGATGTTATCACATCCACATCTTCCTGGTGAAGTGGGTGAATTTTGTAATAGTGCTTCCTCATGTTGTCCATTCCCTTGCTCCTAAAACTGCAATGTTGACAAAAGAAGAGTGGCATTCCTCCATGCTCCTTTTGTAAATGTTGAAAGAGGCTGCTGGAATGCTGGAAGGTCATAATACATTCAGGGCACTGATAAGCACAGCCTGTCCAATACTTATGTTGCTGTCGAGTCATGTCAGCCCATAGAGGGCTACTGACTGGATTCTTGGATGCTGGACCCAAGGATGATGATGACGGTATCAGTGATGACGGCAACAGCAGCATCTCTTCTGGTTCCATTTTGACAGGAGCCCATTTGACTTGTTTGTATGTTCCACCTAAATTTTCTTGGCTGTCTTCATGCAGCGACTGTTGGGTCATACTTCCTGATGGTGTACGTTCATTTCCAATCAAATTCACACAAGATGTTGCTGCACTAGAATCTCTTCTGAAACTTTTTCTGACATTCCATGTCTTCGTCCCAGTCTTCCTCTTCTGGCTCCCCTTGGCTTTTGAGGTTGCCAACCGCTTCTCTGCAATTTCAAGCCGGACTCTGTGATTCCTCTGTTCGAGTGTTTCAAAGGCAATAGTTTCAAGGTCTCTGACATATTCGGTGTGATATTGTATGTAGTGTCGTCTTAAATTGTCTCGTCTGTTGCACTGATACTCACACCGTCGACACCAGCTAAACACTTTAGGGCCATGTTCAATCTTTAAGTGACGTCTGAGGCTCCCCTTGGCGATATACTCTTTCAAACATTGTGGACATATGTAGATTTTGCCACTCTGGAATCTCTGTAAACGTTTAGGGGTCTTCTTGCGCTTCCTGCCCTTCAACCTGCACAGGGAAGCAGAGAGTAGGGACATGTCATTAGCACAGCTGCTAGCTTTCTAACAGAGCACTCTGCTGTTGGCTAAACACTGTCTTCCCACTCTAGAAGTCAATGCACTGTGCTGCACGGTCCGTCAGAATCCCTGATCAATGTCTTGACCTCCTTTACTGTTTTCTGCTTGTAAGCATTTGCTTAAAGATGAGAAAAACAAATAGGAGGGTTCACTGGAGCTTCTCCCAGTATAGAGTAACATACAAAGTGTATGTGAGTAAGCATATTCTTTGAGAATATTCCTCAGCTAAATCTGGCTCATGTTCTTGAATCTCTAAGTAAACTTCCTATTAAGAGCACAAGTCTAAAAGACCTGTTCAACCTGACAGGCTGTCAACTGACAAGTATGGCGTGTAGATCTTGGCAAGCTCAGTGTCCAAGTGGTAAGACATCTCTACTAGTAAGCAGACGGTTGAAGGTTTGAATCCCAGCAAGAAAGATTGTATAGTGAATGAATGAAGAAGGCTTGTAAAGCGTTGGTATTTGCCACAGATGGGCGCTTGCCATAAAATGTCCAACCCTGACCAGCGATTATGCAGCGCATTATAAAGTCAGAAATAAGTTCACCATTTATGTTGACGATGCCTCCGAGAACAAATAGGTCTGAGAACAAAAAAATTATTTTCCCACATGCTCACAAAAAGTATGGCTCAAACAGTGCCTGTAACATACACTGTAATGTCACTGAAAGGCACAAACCAACATCAAAAACTGCATCAACCTGAATAATAATCAACACTACTTGACTGCAGTGAGTGCTGTTACATGTACATGTACACCCTGCAGGAATGCTGATCGAATGATATCGGCAAAGTAGTGGGTTCAAGCCTAGTGCTGCAGCCAAACCGCCACACCGAAATAAAAACAGCCGAACTTGGCCTTCCGAACCGAACCCAAAAGTCGGTTCAGAAAAGTTTGACAAATATTTGTTGATAGCGCTAGGAATGCTAAAGCTTGCAATGAAAAGGCAAAATTAGTGCGCACGGATGATTGAATTTACCGTTTTGAAAAGTCTCCGCGTCCATCTTCATTATTTACGATGTTCTAGACAGGCATACAATAGGGTATCGGGGCCGATACGCTTTGAAAAAAATCGTACGCACCTACAATTCTCTCAATGAAAAGCGTGCTCTTGCTTTGGCCACGCAGCGCGGCAGCGCCGGGATATCCCAGCTTTGCCGCGTTCAGTGACGTAGTTCGTTTGGACCAAACCACATGTGGTGAAGGGTGCGCTTTCCTCGGCACAATTTACCAGCATTTCATTTGTTTCACTGTGTAAAAATTACAAATACTACTTTTTATGGAGTCAGAAACGTTTCCCTCGTTCAAAATACGTTCTTACTCATCGCAATATATTTTTTCGTAAAGAATTTATACGAAAAACGATGTAATCTCCCAAAAGAGGGTGGATTACCCCTTTACAAAATTAATGGATCCGTCCACATAATGAAAGTCATTCTAGTCGCGAAATTCGAAGTTGATTTTTTTTTTTTACGGTAGCTACTTGTCAGCTTGTTGCTAAAAATAATTATGATTTGATAAGTTTAGTACAGTAAAAGGACCTGTTTGTTCTTAGAACAAAACTAATCAGCAATTATTGCAGCGAAGCAAGGTTCTAGTGTTCAGGGCATGCTCAAACTCAAACGGAATTCGTCAGGAAAACAAATCAGCATGGGTGGGAACATTTTGATCATAGTTCACCAGGATAGCCTGAGGGCCGTGATTATACCGGTAACATGTAGCAATTTACGATGTTCATTTCTCAACGTCATAAACTCAAATGATTATGGTATTTTGTTTACACACTTCTTCAACTTGTGTTGTATACCATGTGGAAATTGTGGTACCTATTTGTCAGACATGCGTGGTACACACATGTTTTTTCGAACAGGGAAAATGGCCTATCTCATTGTACCATGGACATGTACATTATATGCACTTCCTAAGTCGAACCGAACCGAAGTTCGGAGGAAAAAAAATTGAACCGCAACCGAACCGAACCGAACTTTGAGGGTCAGTTACAGCACTATTCAAGCCCCACTTAACACAAACTCCCAAGGCTTTAGGCTCAAGTCCAACAGCTGCAGTCACAGTGGGCTACACCACTGAACCCGCCAAACAGTACTGGATGAGCCAAACTCAAACAGGTCCAAAATGATGAAGTTTGATGGATTTGGTACAATCAACCTATACTCAATGTGTTTAGAACAGACAGTCATCTCACTGGACACGTACATGTACATGTATGCACAATGTACCATCCTTTAATGAGAGGACACAGTTGCTCCCTTTGTTTTCCTGTAGCACTGCTCAACACAAGCCACACTTTGTCGTTAGTCACTGTCATGCCAAGCCTGTTATGATGCCCAGCTTTACATCATGGATGGCTTCCAATGAATTGCTAAAACAAAGTCAAGAACTCTGCATGGGCCTCTGAAGGCCAGCAGTGCACTATTCATATCAGATCACCCCCACTTCACTGTTTGCACTTAACATTATAATACACATCATGCTTGAGCCAGAAACTCTGCCTGTGAAAAGCAGTGAATTCCAAGACAAAATGTCTGAAATCTTCAAAACAATCATGTCATTATGATGGCATTTGCAATGCAGCTCACACGTTATGCATTGTCAAGTTTCATCCTGAACGGGTGTGTAGCATGGATATTGGCTACGCACGTTAAAAACTTAGCATATAGCAAAATACCATGTGACAAGCTCTCTGCCAATGAAGACGGAATCTGTGGGTGAGGTGTTACAATCCCAGAGGGAAACATGAAAAAGAAAAAAAGAAAAAACAAGAGCCACTATTAGCTTATGCCAAAAACAAAATCTCTGGTTTCTGGTCAGTGCGCTCATCATCACAGCCATGCGCGTCGGGAAAATTAAACAGGTTTTTTTTCACTGTAAGATGATGTCTCAAAACCACCAAACTCACTGGTTTGACTGGAATCCTGCTGCTGCACAATTTTAACGTGTTTTTAGATAGGGTTATGATCAAGTATAAGCTTTATGTGGCCTCTCTGGGCTCCCATATAGTTTGCACTAAATTTAGTCAGGCACCAATTGTAGACAGTTTTGGAATTTTGTAATTGTGTGTCTGGAAGCCAGACTGAGGGAGTGATGGTCGTGTATCTGGAACTTGTAAATGTTTTTAATTAGCAAAACATGTATGGGAGCAGACTAATCACCAGCCTGGCAGCACATGCACGATGTCGCTGTATGGTCTGATGTTACCATTTTCTCTGATTTAGTCTTGACTATCCAAATTTCCCAATGAATGTTGGTGTTGGTCGAGATCGTATAAGTGGGTGCAGAATTCTCAAGCCTTATGGCCTTACTGAGGTCATCTCAATCTCCAACCTGAAGGATATTTTTAAGAGTTTTAAGGGGATCGAAGCATAGGTCAGCTGCAACATCATCACCCGACATTTGAAGAAAAAAAGTACGGGAAACACAAAAAAAACCTGCGTCGCCACAGAGCTATTGGGGCAAGCTCCATACCAGAAACCGGAGACTTTTTTTTTTGCCTTACGAACTGCCAACAGTCAAAATTCAAGTGGTATAACTCACATATTGATTTTCCTCTTTGGAGCTTGATTGGCTGCTTGCGCTGCCTCCTGAGCAGCTACCTGGCTCTTCTCTCTCTCTCGTTTGTTACTTTCGTAGCGTGACTGTTTCTCAGCCCGATCCCTCGCTATCTGTTCACGGACTCGCTCCTTAGCTAGCCGTTCCTCTTCCTTCTCTTTGCGCAGTTCTTGTGCAACCCGTCTGGCCTCCTGGTCCGATCGTTCCTGCATGGATTTCTGCACAGCTTGGCCAACCTTTCTTCTGTCTATCTCTTTCTTTTTAAGCTCCTACATCAACACACAACCAAGGATCAACTGTTAAAGTATAACACCATATACCGGTATGTATGTGCAGGACCAGTAGATGTTGCTGTGTGGCCTTCTCACATTAAAAAGTAACCCCCCCCCTAAATTTCCCATAAAATAAAGCGTGTTTTATAGTTGTATTTACCAGTTGAATTAATTCTGTTGAATAAATTCGGTTCAGGCTTGGTTTGGATTTGGTTTGGAAACTTTTTTATTTGAAATTAGTTCAGGTTTGGCAGCAAATTGGACTTTAAAAGCGAGTTGCTAGGGGTCTACATGTTCATCTGTTAATTGTCAAGCACAATAAACCATTTTCAAAAGGTCATTGCAGGACCCAACACGTACCAGAATAAACCCTGCCACACCGGACTATTGCTGCCTTTTAGCATGGATTTTGAAAGTTTTACGCACTGCACATGCAAATGTTGAAATTAAAATTGAGTTGCATATGCAGAAAGCGTGGTCACATTTCCTAGTTTGTCTTTAATACTCAAAATGCTCTCAACAACCTTTGGACAACTAAAACGCTCATAAAGATACGTTTTTAGTATTTCTTCTTTTATATCAATCGTGACTCAATTTTTCCTCGACATGACCCACAAGTTGTGTAGACAAAGATAACTGGCACAATATAAACACCGGTAACCACATAGCTTACTGCCAACTACTGAATGAATAATGTCACTCCATCATTTTTGAAACAATTCACACTAAAGATTTCAGCAAGTAAAAAAAGTTCTTCAATTATGTCTTTATTTCAAGCATTAACTATAACTTCCTACAGTCTTCTACTCAGTACTGGACCAAGGGCGCCAAAATCCATCAATCACACTGCTTCCAATGCATGTTTTACTTTAGGCCTCCAGGCCCAAATCCATTATACTCCATCAATATTTAATCAAACCGGACCTGCAGGACCAAGTCTCCCAAAATCCACTAAAGTGGGGGATGGATTTTGATGGAGTTGCAGAGGTTAGGGTTAAAATTGAATTTGTAACATTTGGGCACTCTAATTTTTTCTAATTGCAGCTGTTGCATGGACGTGTTGCTTAATTCACCGCACTCTGAAATATGGTTAGCAGAGCCGTTGTATGACTGCATACATGTACATGTATAAAAAGTGACTTAAATTTCCTGTCAACCTCAAATGAGAAGATAATTGGATGGTGCAAGTTTTGATTAATTTTGTTGTGCAAAATATATGTTGTGCTAAAACTATCCGACAGTTGTAGCATTGCAGGATTGATACACTTGATACAATGAATCGCTGTCGTTTGATCTGCACATACATTGATGGCACAATCGTGGCACAACATGTGGCTTAAAATGATGGCGGAATGCTAACATTGACTTAAAACAATAAACCATGCCCACACAAAAACTTGCATCTAGCCTAGGAAACCGTCTTTTAATTTTAAAATATACTTGAACATTTTTGGCAATTTGGCTACTACAAAAAGCCAGGTTGGTAGGTTACCATAAGAAAAACAATGTTTTCGGACAAAGAATGGCCTTTTATCCTCAAGACGTAAAATATTGTACCTCTTCCTTCTCAGCCTCCTTGCGTTGGTGGATTTCCTCCATCTTCTGTCTCAGTCTAGCTGCCTTCTCCAATTTACTGAGTTCCTTTTTCTGGTCTTGACTAGCAGCTGTAGCTGAGGCTTGCAGAGTAGGTGAAGCTTGAGAAACAGTAGATGTTTGGGGACTGGTGGAGGAGTCTGATGCCACCGTAGCTGGGCTTGAGGTACTAGCTGGAGCCCGGGTTGATGGAGTTGTGGACGAGGCTTGCTTTGTCCTCTACAAATAAAGAATTTGCAGGGAATATTACAATTGATGTATGTTATTGGTTTACAAGCTTTGAGAAACATCAAAAGCTATACAGAGTTATACCAAAGTTTTAATTAAAATATCCTTCAATAATAACTTTCTTTCTTTGAGCATCTCATTTACACTGGACATACAGACAGATGCTTCATTCGTTCAACAACTGTTCTTTCTGCATGGGAAAAAACTTTTTTTTGTGGGGGGGGGGGGGAGACAAGGTTGTAGTAGCTGAAGAAAACCTAAACACATGAAAAGCCCTTTTTGTCCTGTTACATTAGCCTTTTTCCCCCGCAATAACTTGGACTCACACGCACAACAAAACAACTTTAAATTATGACTCGCCTAATTTATATTTATTGTATTATCACAGAGCATGCAAACAACAAAATTTAGGGCAACTCAAGTGGAAGACTATACGAATTCATACAAACACTCCAGAACTGCTCTAATAGTCCCTGTATGCCAATTAGTCCACCGGCTTCAGTTCATCCAAATTGAAACGCGGCCCTTAGTTTAAAATTAGTTTGCTCTATCACAGTAACTGAGGACTCCTAATGTACATGTACATGTACTGTGATAATGTGCACAGAAAAAGGTACATGTACATGTACAATGTATAAAGGAGAGCCTGCTCAACAAATATTATTGCTTATCTACTAACACTGCCTGCAGTCGGGGACACGTGCTGAAAAATCAGTTCATTGATCCTAAATAAAAAATGTGGTAGTTGAAACCTGTCTAGGTTAGTAATCATTAGGCACAGTGACTTATGAAAAGAGTGTTAAACTCCACACCATTTAAACAATTGTGAAAATTGACTGTGATTGTGAACCAGGGTAACAAGTTCAACCCGGTCACAATGCCTATATGCGTCTTTACTAATGCCTCTCTATCAGTTCAAAGGGGTAAACACAGTAAGTTAATTAAATTTCACTAAAGTCTGTTCCTGTTCAGAACCAGTTTTCTGACGTTATTTGAAAATGATATCACCTACTTTGAAATAAATTCTTTTTAATTAAAAGTTTTTTTTTTCTTTGGTCTCTGTCACGGCATAGAGACCTTTCTCTATGGTCACGGTTTCATGAAAAATGCTTGGTGATGTTGGTTACATCAATTTATGGGCACCCCTATGTGTTGCAATTTTCTCCCTCTACCTGCTAACCTTTTGACCTGAAAACCTGCGTACATGTACAATGAAATCGTGACTGATATAAAGAGGCAGTCAAATACAATATTAAAGCAGTGTCTTATGGTACAGATTCCACTTACCTCTAGGACTTTTTGAATTCTCTGTTTGAACTCACTAGAGTTGATGTAACCATCAGTACCCTCTATGGGTTCCCCAGTCGAGCCAGAGATAAAGGAGACACAGGGAACACATTTCACTGGATCTTTAGGATCAAGAGTTTCTGGTTAAGGAATACATAACGTAATTAGCATTGGTGCTTATCTCATCTGCGTTTATCTATTAACCCTCTGACACCTGACAGTCAAAATGTTTAAAATCAACATATAACACATTTTTGTCATGTTTGTGTGTCTGTCCTTGGGAACAAAGTTTCATCATGTATGTTGTGCGAATAACCCTCTGAAAAAAGGGGTCTATTTTGGGTTGCTTGATCTGCTATGCAATCAGACTGGTTCCCAGTTATCAATCCAGAAAGGAGGGCAGGAACCAGTCTACTGTACATGGGGGAACTGAATTATTGTCAAGCCACAAATAATTTGAAATTTGCGAAGTGATTAGTCCATAACAAATTATGGGTGGATTCCTTTTTTGAATGTCTCATTCCAAAGTCAATAACTTTTGCATTGCTAGAAAACTGGCTATTTAAAATAAAAATTGATTTTTGGAGTTGTAACTCACAAGCACTGACTGTACATGTCTAAGGCAAGTTAGGGTTTGACGTGCACATCTGAAAAGTGATATGAAAATAATAAATATATGTTCACCATGGTAGGGCAGAGACCCCTAACATGGGTTTCTAAAGTCTAATAAGCCTCAGTGGCTACTGCCACTCTCTATAATTGTAGACTTTGATGTGTAATGTACACCAGTGAATGCACTCATGAATGAATATTGATGAACATTACCTAAGAACTTCCCATTGATATAACAAAATATTAAAAGACTTCACTTGGTTTCACAACTACATGCATATCCATACGGTACCGTCATTGATACACTGCAACTTCAAAGGATACAGTACTGTGAAAACTGCTTGAATTCATCACTAGAGGAGAAGAAAACGACACCAATACATGTGTTAGTAAGGTGGACCATTTCATGTTATCACCTTTAAGGCCTATTTACACATACAAGATTTTGAGGCAATGAATGACTTTGTAGCATGGCAATGTCGTAGATGCTTGTGTGAACAAATATGCTAATGTGTGAACAATGTCACACAATCTTTTACAAAAATCCTTTTCAGGAGCAGGGGTCCATGTGAAATATGTATGCTACGTTTTGTGTCGCGCGACAAAATCCCTTTTGAATTTGATTCCAAAAAGTCGTACGACTTTGTCGCGTAAATGTAAAAACACTCATTTGTTTGTGTGCAAATGAGAAACATTATCTTGCGACAAAGCCGCGTATGTTTAAATTGGCCTTTATAATCTACCTATGTAAGGTGGACAATAAAGGTGATCTATGGTGACACATATGCATACATGTGCGACTGTTCTCTTAAATTCAGAAGCTTCTGGGCTTGAAATGGAGACTGAAACAAAATTGATACATGCCATATGAACTCCCTTAGGCTATTTTGTAAACTGCAGTTCCAAAATATTGATTTGGAACATAATCATAATTGAAACAACAGAAGTTGAACTGAATTATTAAACCTTTGCATTTTCCCTTACACCAGCAGCACTGGCCATCTAGTACCAAGTCTCTAAGACGCACGTACATGCACATACAGGAAATTAAACAACAGCTTTTGGACGGTATGCATCACATTACTTGTACAAGCTATTCTTTTCAGTCTGTGTGAAGCCCACTTCTCCTACCTATCTGCATTAAATTTGACTGCCACCATGCCAGAGTCTTCACACAGCTGAGATATTTCTTGGTCCTCCCACGTGGTATCCATCTGAGTTGAGGCATCATCATCACCTGCAACAAACGAATGCGAAAGGATATTTTTAATGGCAAACATATGCATATGTAAAATAAAATTCTACATTTTTGCAGTCCGATAAAAGAGTTAACATGGCATTTTGAGTGGATCCTTTGCTGCATAAAGGATAAATCTGCTGTCTTAGCTGAGTTTTTGCTTGTAATTTGAACGAACATCACTGTCCAAGTCACGGAAGTAATCGCGGCTCTACTGGCAAAACTCCCCATGTCATGAGCCTAGTATTAAGGCAAAAAAATAAATAAAATAGTTCTGCTTCTGATTAGGGCCCGTGACCATTCAGCCCCGGTATGAAAAGGGCCCCCCTGTAAACTCGTCCCCTCCCAAGAAGCCCTTTCGTACCATCCAAGCTACCGGCCTAGGAGCTGGTCCGGTTGCTAATCAGGAACTCCTCTATCCTGGGGTCTATTGTTTGCAAGTATTTACACATGTAATATTATATCCCAGAAGAAACCTGCTTGTGGTTTTCATTTCTCAGCGCGAAACAATAGAACACTTTCATCGGCACAGATCAAAACCCCTGCCTTGTGGTTTCACACACAATGGGACCGTAAATTACCAAGGCGTTTGGAAGGATTTTATCTTTAATCCGGTATGTCTGCTATTGTTCTGCTCTGGATGTTCTCTGAAGGGCAATAAATTGATGTGCCTGACTGACTTCAAAACTTCTGGTCAGACAGGACCATGTACCGGACGAGACTGGGCTGAAGACAGGACTGGCTCTCAACCGAACGAGGTACCTGAGGGCCCTTGTCATACCAGGGCTGAATGGTCACAGTCACGTACATGCCTTTCAAAAATACGGTAAAAGGTACACATGTAGGCCGCAATTTAATTTAATGTCAAAAATATTTACGGTCGATAATTCTTCAAAATAATAGCAAATTCAGGCCGTGCACATCACTGCACAACACTAGTCATGATGTTTACTTGGCATTTTTACGATGTCAGATCCGACCTGTAACTGCAGTGCACTCTGCAGTGTTACTCTATGTTGGTTGGCCATATGCATAGACTGGTTGCCTCATTTCCATCATGCATTCTTTGGCCCTTGTATATAGTGCGCGGCGCAGCGGGAACCAGTACAGCATTGCTGCATTGAGCATAACGTACGTGTTTTCATCACCGCGATAGCGAATCGCATAGACAACTTGTAAAAACAACAGAGTTTTCTTTTCAAAAATAGCAAATGTAAGTTGGCAAGCAAATTACAAGGGTTTTTGACGTTTATTTAACGTGCCTATAAAAACTTTAGGGTCGCAGCCGTAAAAATAGGGTAGGTCAGTAAACCGTAAGCAGAACTCTTTTTTGGGGGGGCCTAAGCTGGAAATTTCAAGCTAGATCTTTCGCCATCTGGCGTGTCTAGTCGCTCCTAATTTTTTAGAGGTTGAACTTTTCATGTACTTTATTCAAATCTTGCCTTAAATTTGGTTCGGCACGACTCTAGAATGCTTGTCTGAACCGGAGGTAATAATAATAATAATAATAATAATTTGGGAGGCTAATCATCCTTACTCGCAGCTGGTATGCTGAATTGCGAAGGACGCGGCTACAACGTAGTCGGGCCGCTGGCACGTAAAGGCGCCTATGGCTGCCGGCCACATCGACCCATATATGACCACGGAGCACAGCCTGAGATCGGAAGTGTTTGATTTTTCCGGAGGGAGGAAAACCGGAGGGCCCGGAGAAAAACCCTCGTGGCACAGGAGAGAACCAACGCACAACTCTACTCACATGTGATCCAAGGCCAGGATTCGAACCGTGGTCACCTTGGCGAGAGGCGAGCGCTTTACGCACAAGCCACTAATGCCACCCAAGGTAAGTAACACAACCAAAGAAGTGGCGTCTGGATTACTACAATCAGTGTGACAGTTCCAGATCACTGTTTATACAGCACGGCTGTACACACACACACGATTGGACTTTCATGGTCCGAGTGACACCATTTCATGGTAAAATTCCTCCTTATCCACTTACATGTATGCCCTTATCCACTAGGTCATCAGGTGCTGCACAACAGTGGAGGAATACCTTTTATAATGCGCTGTACACATGTACAATCTAGCAGGCAAAATATCGTTTACTGAAAGAAAGCCGGCTAAACCAGCCGGCTAAATATACACTTCCATACACTACCAACACTGAAGAAAAACGATAACTGTTGACTATGTTCCACAGGAAACCAGAATTTCGCCTTTACCACTGTTTACGCCCCTCCTTTATGTTCCTTTAGGCCAGTTACAAAACAAATGGATATTTTGCCGAACTGTACATGTTGGATCATGGGTAGCCTGAATGCCTCTGGCCATACACAAGCTCTGTAGTATGGCCAGAGTATCACAAGCTCTCGGTCTATGGAGTGGAGCGTTGCAACTACGGTACCCTCTGTAATAACGCTCCTCCGAATAGGCGTACTTGACTACACATTTACTGACACACGGTATGCATTTTTTTGCATACCCCAGAGGACAAAATGCCCCCCAAACTGCTAAAGACAATTCAAATGAGAAAGACAGTTACCCCGGATAGATCTACCTACATATTCATGATATTCCATAAGACCCCATAAATTGTTCCCAACAAGCGGTAATTTTGAAAAAAGAACAAAACATTCTGATAACTTACCGCTCACAATTAAATGTGTCTGCCAAGTTGTGCCATCCATTTTTTTGCTGATCCGCTGAGGGCGTATGTGACGTCACTATTGAAGAAAAGCAAGTCGCACTTAATCAACGACTGTTTCGTGTAGTGATATGTGCCCCGCGCCCTGTGACAGTATGGGCTTTTTGCGCGGGGCACATACAATTACACGAAACAGTCATTGATTAAGCGTGATTTGTTTTTCTTCGATAGTGACGTCACACACTGCCTCAACGGATAAGCCAAGAAATGGATGGCACAACTCGGCAGACATATTTAATTGTGAGCGGTAAGTTGATCAGAATATTTTGTTCGTTTTTCAAAATTACCGTTTGTTGGGAACATTTTAAGGGGTCTTATGGAATGCCACGAATGTGTAGATCTATCCGGGTTAACATGGTTAAAGGAAATATACAACATTTGCAAACATCGAAAAACAAAACTACCCATTTTTTACAAAATACCTTTCTAGGATGTAGGTAAATGACAGTCTAAAGCATCCTGTAAAATTATGGCACCAGGTTTGAAGTCATTTTCAAAAAAAGTGGTATTTTGTATAAATTTTCAACGGTGGTCGGCCGACCACCGTTGGAAAAACCTAACTATCTTTCAACTACTGCTCCAAATTTACCAATTTTTTTGTTGTTTTGTTTGCTATTGATTACATGTTCATGAACGGGTGCAGGCCAGCTGGACAGGTTCTATTACCTTGCAATTTCCGGCATCTATAAATTGATCCATTTCATCTTTAGTGGAGTCAGGGAACCAGACTACTTGAACAGTTTTGTTTTTCTTGGTTTTTCCCAGCATTTTCAAACACAAAACTTTAAACATGTCAGTGTAACAATAATTTATCTTTTATACTAACCCCTCAAATATTTCATTTCTGAAAATAACAGCAAAAGCCAATGATGTACATTCCCTTTAACTATCTTTCTCATTTGTATTACAACGAGGACGAGCCTATCTCCCAGGTCTTCCAAGAACTCCCTATATCTGACGATCCATTCTCCATGGAAGAATACCTGAAGGCCAAGAACAGCATCAAGTGTGGCAAGTGCTGTGGTGAGGACCGAGTAACCCCAGAAGTCCTGAAACATGTCCCCGTGGATGACATCGCTCTAAATTTTATAAATAGAGCATATGATACTGAAGCACTACCAGCGCTCTAGAGTATCATCAATATCATCCCAATTCCCAAGTCTGGGGACCTCACCAAGACGGACAACTATCGGGGCATCAGTCTAAGTCCCCTTCTTGCTAAGATCTACAACAGGATGCTGCTAAACCGACTCAGACCCACTCTAGATCCTTTGCTCAGAACGTCACAGAACGGCTTCCGGCAGAAGCGCACCACAGCTCAACAGATAGTGGCGCTAAGGAAAATACTAGAGGGAGTGAAAGAGCGAAGCCTACCTGCAGTGCTCACCTTTATTGATTTCTGCAAGGCCTTCGACACTGTGCAAAGCAGGCTTCTAGCCAGGCATACAATAGGATATCGGGCAGATACGCTTCGAAAAAAATCCGATACGCTTGAAGTTAACCGATATGCTATCGATACGCTTCACATTTTTCGTGACAAAAAAAAAACTACCCAAGGTTTTCTCACTACTTGTGTATTAAATGTACTGGTATAAAATAAGATCTGTTGCTGAAACGAATTATTGTTACCTGAGGCAAATCATTTTTTTAAACGAACAGTGGAAGCACATCCCACGAAAAGATACCGAGGTTCGCTACCGAGCGCTGGCGATATACACTGCCGCGCTGGCCGGCCGGCGGGCCGTGCGTGAGCGAGTGAACTCTTTCGTTGGAATCCGACGTGATCCCACACATCTCAGACTAATCGTTAGGAATCACAACAATATGATAAGTTGTGATGTAAAAAAGGACTGATTTATTCTTAGGACAAACAAATCAGCATCTGTTGCCACAATTGACGGCAAGGAAGAGGAGCTGGGCTTCACACTCACACCTAGGAGAAGCAGGCGGGTTGGCCCTGTCATGATGACTGACCTCGACTTCGCTAATGATATTGGCCTCATATCTGACACAGCAGAAAAAGCTCGGGTGTTGCTTCTTGTGGTAGAATCTGAGTGCATAAAGATCGGCCTCCATATTAATGCCAAAAAGACAAAGGTGCTAGCCTTCAATATTGAGGACACAACAGTCGCCACTGGCGATGGATCAGTGGTCGAGGTAGTGGAGGACTTTAAGTGTCTTGGGTCCTACATCGCCTCAACAGAGAAGGAGCTGAAGGTCAGGAGGGCTCTGGCATGGAGTGCGGCCCACTCAATGAGGAAGGTGTGGAAAGCCCAGCTCAGTGACGATCTCAAGA